CTGTAAACTTATCATAATTCAAAGAAATTTTAAGATTTCACCCCGTTACTAAAAAATTGGACTCCGTCCTGGTCACCCAAAATTGGTAACATGTTTGTACTCTTTGAATTTGTGGGGGCGTCAATTGCACGTGTATTCTATTTTCATGTTAAAACTCAATTTTTTATTTTTTCTTTTTTTGGTTGTTGGAACATTGTCATTCCACGCATCTGGCCAGGAAAATGAATACTGATCTTATTTCACAAATTTCTGATTTTTTTATCCTTTCCCCTTTTAATTCAATTTTTTGTCCTGCTCCTCGTTACTTGAGTTCACATAAACCTCTCCTTAAAATAAAAAAATAAAAAATAAAAAATAAAAGAAGAAGAAGAAGAAGAAGAAAAGATTTTCACAATTTGACAATCCATAAAAGACAATTCGAAATTGATGTTATGAGAATGAGATTAAGAAAAATCCAAAGACATGAAAATATAATTGTTAAGAGCACAGGGCTTTTTTTTGTTTGAATCAACTTTAAAAAAGTGGAAAAATCAATATATATGCCTTTAATGAATTTACATGTATATTATCAATTATTTAAGTTGTTTAATGATAATTTTCTTCTAATAAAAATAATAAATCTTAAATTTTCATCATAGGATGGGGTATAATCGATTAAGAGATGAGAGAAAATTATCTTTCATTATGCAATTATAAGATTTTAAAAAAAATTACATGTATGTTTAATTTATTAAGGGTATTTTTATTGATCTTTTTCCTTCAATTCGAACTACATTTATTTCATTAAAATTGAAAAAACACATTTATGATTTTTTAATGAAGTATATTAGTTTAGACTTTATTTAATATAATTGTGATTTTTAATTTTGATTTTTAAAATTTTACAAATTTTAAAATAAAATTAACAATTTTTATAAATTAATTAACCTTTCATTTTTTTAGTATTATTTCTAAAAATTTATACTCAATAAATTAGTAATTTTAACTTTAATTTTAATTTTTCTATTACTAATTTTAATTATTCAAACATAATTATGCTAAATACCAACTAAGAAAAACATAATCATACTAAACAAAATCTTAATTTATAGTTGGATTTGATTGTGGTAACTAAGTTAAATAATTTAGTCATAATTTTCTTCCTTATAGTAATTATTATGACCAAGGCATCCCACAAATGAAACAAAAAATCTAAAATGTATGTGAATATTAATTAAAGTTTCAAAGTTCATATGGATCATGGGTTGGCTTTTTTTGCGTCTTGG